CTGCCCAGCTGTGCCAGCTGTGCCCGCTGCCCCTGCCCGCCCAGCTGTGCCCACCGCCCCTGCCCGCCCTGCCGTGGCCACGCTCCTGGGGCCAGCTGCCCGCTCTCGTGTTCGTTTCAGAAACGCCGTGTCACCAGCGCAGTCTTCCCTTTCTCATTCTTTAACGGTAATCTTCATTGCGAGCTGTGTTTTATGCTAACGGCAATAAAATATTGCATGCTGCAGGTATTCGACAAATGTACCATCTCATATTTAACTTTCCTGACGCAGTTAATGCCTTTATTAAAAGCAGAAGTACCATTTTATTCAAATTGCCAAATATGGGCTTAATTGTTCAATCAAGAAGTGTTACAGCTTGTTGTGAAAGGGGACCTCTGGAATATTGCATAATGGAGAGATTGCCTCTCTTTTGAGATTATCAGTTACTTGCTCTAAATACTTATTTTTCTATATTGATACCCAGTAGTGCTTAATATTATATAATAAACAGCCAAGTACTTGCCTGTTTGCAGGTAAGTAGGTCTGTATATCAAGCAGGTTTGAATCGGTTTCAGAAATCTGCCAGGAATATGTTCACGGATGTACTCTGTCCGATGTCCCTGGCTGTGCAGGGTGATCCGAAATCTTTGCTCTCTTGAAGCAGTCAGCTGAAATCTTCCTCATCAGTGTACTGTGAATCATCATGAGTGAAAGAATGGGATATTTTTAAAGCAGTTTCAGAACAGGTTGTAGACACACATATAGATGTAAAAGTGTTTGTGGACAGGCAGCTTTACTACTGCTTTTTTTCTTTAGAGGGTAATCGTGTTTTCCTTCTAGAATGCTTGAAATACTAATTTCAAGAAGAATTTGTTGGAGCGTTCCCATTTTTTAGGTAGCATACAGGACTTGTACGTGGGGGGGGGTTGTGTGTGTTAAAGATTCATGTACTTTATGTGACAGCTTTACATTAAGTGAGTTAATAAATTATGTCTCTATCTTCTTTTTAGCTATGTATAGCTAATAAGATGAATTTAAAATGTTAACAGATATTCTGCTAGGTCTTATTTGAAACTTTATCTTTTTCTTGGCAAGGGACCAGCAGTTTGCCTGATGGTTGCCTTTTGTCATGGCCTTTTAATGAAATTTCTGGAGTATTTATTTATGATGGAAGTGTATATATTTCTATTACTGTCAATAATACTTGAGAAGAAACATAAACAGGAAGATTTTGGGGGTTTTATGTTACTGTTAACTTGCTGGTGATACTGTGTTTTATATGAAATAGTCCATTCTACACCTTTTTAAACAACTTGTGTACCTTGAATATATATATAGTGTCTCCTAGAGGAGGCAAGCATCTGCTCTTCTCCAAATAATCCTACCTGCAAAGTCTCCTGCTGGATCCTATATCCTGAGATACAGCTAGTGCCAAGGACTGCGTAGGTGATGATTGGTTTGCTCTCAGTAAGTGGAAAGCTCAGCACTAGGGAAAGTCCAACTTAATTTCTACAACTGTGATCCTGAAAGTTCAGTATGGAGTTTTGTAAAGATTAGATCACTTCAAGGCACTTTTCATTAGCTCATACCACTTTTATGCTGAAAAGACATCTTGTAAAATAAAGTGCTTCCAAAAGTTTTGCAAGTCACAAACTGCTCAGTGCTCTGTATAATGTATGATGCGAAGCATTCTAAACTAATCCTGTGTTCTGGTCTGACTAAGACAAAAAAAATTTGGGAAACTGTTGCCATCTCAACTAAGATGTTTCAGTTCCAGATAAAGATATTTTCTGTATTTTTCTGTCTGCATTGATGGCCTTTCCCTAGGTTTTGGCTGGAGGGATAAAACTGTTGAAGCTTTTTATTTTTTTAGGTGATTCACAGATTAACTAGTTGTCTGTATGCAAATGCCTGTTTGAATTTCTATTGTGAGCCTCATGACATTGGTGATATGAAATTAGAAGCAGGGCAGTAATGTTGGCTGCAGAAAAACCTTTACATACTTTTGCAAATTGTTCCTCTTAAGCAGTAATGAAATTTAATCAAGCGGATTTCTGTATGAGTAGCCTGTTACCAGTCTGTCTAGATTTTTCAGAAGTTTCCTAGGTGCGAGTTTCCTAGGCGCGAGTTTCCTGATGCACGCAGGCTTTCAACATGCATGATACAAAAACTCTTCCATAGTGCATGGAAATGCTACTCTGCTATTTAATAGTGGAAGTTTCTGAGTTCATATGACAGTTTTTGACCTTCTAAAATATAATTTGCTCTAAGTAGTGGGTTTATAACAAGTTGGATATAGTATGCTTTGTTTTTTCTTGCCCGTAATGTGTGTTCTTTGAAGGTATTAGTTATACCTCCTAGAGCTGAAAGTAGTTAGTTTAATAATATTAGGCTTAGTTGAGATACCTAGTGAGGATTATGCCTCACTGGTAGCTAGATGTTTATCACCTACTAATGCATCTACTTTATAGATCAGCACTTCAGTTGTAGAATGTTTCCTAACCAGTGCTGAATATTTATGGTAATTGCTGTTTTTAGGGAAAGTGCCTAGGTCGTGTGTGTAAAAGTGAGTATGTGTTTCCATTGCAGTCCAGAGGTAAATTGCAGGAAAGGCTCCCTATGGTTTAACATTAGATATTCAATATTTACTGGCTGCTTCCAGAGAGTAAATTTATAAACAGTTGTTTTGAAACTGGTATGTTTAGCAACCTGGCTTTACTGTATGTTGTTAAAAACCTGTTTAAAAAGAATTGTTATATGTGTTATGAGTTCTGTTTAGGATCACAGACATTTCGTTCTTGGTTAAGAATTTATTTTGTTAAATTCTGTACACTCTTAAATGCTAGAAGGAAATATTATGGAGGATTTTTGCTGGAGCATCTACTCTGAAAGTGATGAATTCATTTGTCTGGCTTTGTCTATAAACATTTTTTTTTTTTACATACATCTTCTTAGTCTGTGAAAATTCTGTACATTTTGCACTGATACAGAAAAATGGTGAAATGTGATCTGCTTTTAAAATAGTGGATGTTTTCTTCCAATTGTCCTTAGGTCTCGTTAGGTGGTGTTGATCTTACAGTGCGGGTCCTCACAACAGGTTACTGGCCTACCCAGTCAGCCACACCAAAGTGCAACATCCCTCCAGCTCCCAGACATGCTTTTGAAATATTTAGAAGGTATGTATTAAAACGGATTTTTAGGGAGAGGTTTTAAGAAGAAACTTTCTAAAGTTAACTTACAGATATGTTTTGCCATTACAGTTAAATCGTGTTAGCATACTGTTGTTCTTCAGTTCATGCAAAAATTAGAGAATGCAATAGTCGCATTAAAAGGCTTGAGTTTTTGGGAGCATTTAATTAGAATTCTGTCAAGAGTTAATGTTTTGAAAAAGCGAAAGTTAGACATTTCTCGGTGTCCTTAATGGCTATGAAAAGTCTATGTAACTGTTTAAAGCAATTTCCTCTTAGATACAAAATGTGAACTATGTGTTAAATTTTCGATTAAATTATATTACAGATTTTATTTAGCCAAACATAGTGGGCGACAGCTGACACTCCAGCATCATATGGGTTCTGCAGATCTCAATGCTACTTTCTACGGGCCTGTTAAAAAGGTAAAGTATCAAGATTATGAAAATATTGTATCTCTCTTTAAAAGTAAGCAAATGCACATTTGTAATAACTTAAGAATTTTGTAAAATAAAAGCTTTACCCATTACGAGTGTAAGAATAAAAGATGTCTTCCATTGGCTTTATAGTCTGATTCTTCCTTTCTAGCAGTTTTGTTTTCACCCCCCCATCTAAATCTAATTTGAATGCATCACTTAGCATCATCTCTTTGTTACCTCATAGAAAAGGCGTAATTTTGATCTTGAAGAGACCTCAATGGTTTGAGTGTTTTGGGTTTTTTTGACTGTGAATCAGTTGAAAGTGAAATGAAACTTGTTTCTCTTTCACATTAACAAAAATTACTTTTAAAAGTGTTAAGCCAAGTTTAGCCTGCTTTTTGTATGCAGAGTGCTAGCAATGTAGACAATGCTTTTTTCAAACATGAGAATCTTAGTAGAGTTTATAGAAGTACAGTGTTTAATGTTTATGTATACAAGACAATAATTGCTAGTGATTTAGACCAGTTCTAAAATGCTAAGCTAGAGGTAGTAATGGCATGATGCTTGGGAACATAGAAGGCAGTGCAAAATTAAAATAAAATTCTTATAATGCAAAGTATTAATAATGTGCATTTGTGAGGATGTTAAAATTCTATTACTGTAGGATAAATATGTTGATAATTTTAGAGAAGAGAGAGAAAACTGGAGGATGGGCAAGTAGTGGAACAGGAGCCAGAGGGGTGGTGGAATCTCTGTCCTTGGAGATGCTCAGTATTTGACTGGACACAGCTCTGAGCATCCTGCTCTAGATGGCCTGGCTTGGAGTGGTGGCTAGACTGTGGGACCTACAGAGGTGCCTCCAACCTCAATCACCCTGTGATTCTAAGGCAACTCCTGGAGAGACGTTCTGTTTATGCCACCAGGTGTATGCTATTCTATCACTTGAGTAGACTGATCTCCTAGATAATTATTTCATCATATAATTTTCATCTTACTGAGGTAAAATATTTTGCAGTGGAGAATAATCTAAGAGTAGTTTTGTAATTTTAAAATAGGAAGATGGCTCGGAGGTTGGCGTAGGAGGTGCCCAAGTAACTGGCTCAAATACACGGAAGCACATATTGCAAGTCTCCACTTTCCAGATGACGATATTAATGCTCTTTAACAACAGAGAAAAATATACATTTGAGGTAAGCATTGTGGTTTTCTCACCTGATTTTAAATAACTGTTTTAGGCACTTTCTTGTCCTCTTGAATAGACCTTTGAAGATCAGGTGCCTCTCATTCTATTTGAGTGTGGATCAGGCCAATAAATACAGGAAGCAGATCATTAGCAATGCACCTGGGAAGCAATCCTAGGGGAGGAAATTATTTGGGAACAGAAGTTTTAAGAAATGTTGGAGAGAGTTGTGACTGTGGTTATTCCTAGGCCACAGAACAGCTGAAGTTGGAATGCAGCAGGTGGCTCCATTTGCTCATTTTATCTTTGAGAAACTGGATTTAGAGTTCAAAGGGGGGGAGAAGCATTTGTATCCTGGCTTCTTAAACACTGAAGTGCTTAAATTGGCAGGCTGGAGTGAGCTGTAGGATGAATCAAAGAACTTTCATCCTTTCTCTGAGCTGGTGAGCCGGAAAGGACAATGAAGAAGATCCAGACAGATTCTTAACAAGGAGACTAGAGGGGCATTGCTGGAAAAGGTTGAACTGGGCAGCTGATAGATGATGAGGAAGAAGCCTTTGTTGAGTGGAGGAGGATCTTGTGCTATGAGGTTTGAGCATTGTATTGTTAATGTCAATTAATAGTTTCATTAGATGTTATCGTCTGTTTGCGAGAGAGCACTGGCAGCCTTGAAAAGCAGTATGGGTGCAGTTTGAGACAGAGTGGATTTCAGCTTTTCTCATCTACTTTTGAGTGTGCTGTGCATAGTAATCATTTGCCTTTTTGTTTGGATTTTGTTTTCATCTTATTTGGCATACTTGTAGCCTGTTAATGAGGAATGTTCCTTTGCAACAGTCTCAGTTGAGATTAAGGAAGGCAGGGTTTGATAAGAGGCTCTTAATAAACTACTCGTAGTTCAAAAAAAGATTATTTTAGTGCACAGAATGTCATGTGTGTTGTGAAACCTATTGCAGGAGCATTACAGCTTTGAGTACTTTCTCTGCAGAATACTTGGGGGGGCGGACTTAACAGCTCATCTTTTCTTGAAGTTGGTGTTGAAATTGGGCTGGTGGCTACCTTATTCCACAGAATTGTAGGCTTTCTCAGTAGCAGAGCCTCACCCATATATGAGTAAGCAATTCTTGGTAGAGCAGTGAAAAATACAATTTCTAATACTTGCTCTAAATTATAGTTTATTTTACTAAGATTAGATGATAAAGAAATATGTCTGTGTTATTTTAGGTTGTGTATGTTTTGTTTATTTCTTGTCTGGGAGTTCCTAAACTCTTACTTTGTGTCCCACTGTAACTAAAACATTAAGAAGGCATAAGTGTTTTGTTTGGTTTCTTTGGTGAAGTGTGTGGGAGTTGTCTTTAACTCCAGCCAGGAAAGCTTATGAAAACTTCTGAGTAGAATGAATTTTGTCTTTGTTCATTGATTATTGAATATCATCATTAATTGCTGAACGCTGGGCAACTGTTATTTCTCTGTCATACCAAATTAGTGCTTTTACTGCAACATAGCATGAGAGATGACTTGTGGTGTGTGCTTGTGTAAGCACAAAACTGTCTGATATACAAGTGTTTCTGCAGATTCACAGCTGAACAGATTAATTTGAAGTTGCCTTCACAGCTGAACAGACTTTGATGTTTTGTTTTGCAGTCAGTGTGATTATTAATTGCAAACTTGACAAGATGCTCACAATAATCCTAATGGCCATTAAGCCATGTGATTGAGGGGAAAAATGGGATAATGATGATGCAAAAATTGTGCATAAGATGCTACAGAAACTTAAAGGATTATTGCACAGGAAAATTCCTTCACAGAAATGTATGAGCTTATTGTATTCCTGTACAGCAATGTTTTATTTATATATGCAAAAGAACCAGTGGCCATATGGGTCTAGTTTAGTGCTACTTGAATTGAAGGATCTTCATGCAAGCCTTCAATGAATGCTAATTTTTTTTTTAAGAATTCAATTTTTTCTAATGACTCTCACCTAGTACTCAACCTATTTTTCTGTTACAGTACATCTCAGTATTTTAAAAGGTGAAATGTAAATTTTTTTTTAATGATGATGTCAAAAATAAGCAGAAAATTTTTGGTTCTTTCTGTAACAAACAAGAAATACAAATGCACCTGTAGTAGAGGTAAAGTTGTTGAATAATTCCACAAAAATGAGAGATTAGAACTTATAACTGGCTTACCTGTTTTTTCTTTTGCTGATCTCTGCTTTGGAAGATACACAAGTTGAAGTCTGTAAATAAAAATAATTTTTTTTTTGTCAGTTCAACAAAATGACATGATGTTTTTCCTTCTAATTTCCTTCTGCACATTTTCCTTCTAATAAACTTTTCTTTGTGTAGAACTGAATGGAGGCAGTTCCATGCCTAGAACCATCTGTCTTGTAGCCTCCAGATAGAGCTCACCTGGTAATATTTTTAGAACTAAGATTGTGTAATCAGTACTGCTCTTGTGCACAACTCTAGTGTGGCCTTTAAGATAAGGCATTTTTGGAGATGGGGAAAAAACCTATACTTTTTTCACTGTTAACATCAAATGTCTCTATAAAAAGATGTTTAGAAAAATTATATGCTACAGACTGAAGGAAAAAGAGAACAGGAACATCTGTTATCCCTATTTACATTCATAGCTACTCTTTTTTATCCAACTCAAAGTTTTTGCTGCCTTCTGAGGCAGCATATTGCAGTGCAATTCTTTCTGAGGTTCTTATTTTAATGCTAGCTTATAAACTCTGAAACCCAAATGGTTTGCATACGTTAGTGGCTGAATTGTAATGCTACAGAGTGAAGTAAAATCAACACAGAAATACACAGTGGTTAGTAATATGGACTATTAGCGTCAAAAAAACTCTAATTCCATTTTAGCTCTTTGTTTCACTTTCATCAAAACAGAGTATATCTCTTTCCTTGTAGAAGTTATTTAATTTTGAAAGGATTAATTTTAGGTGCTGGTCAAAAATCAAAGTGTGGGAGCCTGCATCTCACAGGCATTACGTCATTAGTAAGCTGGATTTGGTTTGTAGCCTTGAGGCTTTACATTTATCTAAGTCCTAAAATCTAAGTGTCACCTTCCTTTGGTTTGTTAAATTTATGCTGATCAACCCGTTTCAGTAAGACTTTTTGTTTGTGACCATGTAAAGGATTATAGCAGTTTGGGGTTTTTACCTTGTGCTGGATCTGGAAAAAATGTGTGAAGGTGACAATTGTGTTTTAAATAAAGCAACAAATGAAGAAATAGTAACTTTCTGTGAGCTGCTGGGGAAGAGGCATTTTGAGACTAGCAAGTAGTTACAATATGTGGATACATGTCACTTATTTCAAATACTATGAATATTTCTGAATGCATTATGCTAAGAATACTCTTAAGTTTAAGAACACTTTATTACCCAACCATCCATAAGCTGTAGGTATCAAAAATTCTGAATTTTTTAAATTTTAGATTTACTGATTATTCATTAAAATTAATTTGAGCTCATGTCAAAAACAGTATTTTACATGATTTCACAAAGTCAACATTGCATGTGTAGTGTTGGGTCTGTAGTTGAAAAGTAAGGCAAGTTTGAGCCTTGGCATCACAGAGACCTGGTATTGAGATTGTATATGAGATGCACTGTAATTAATGACGAAGTCCAAGCAGAGGCCAGTACATCCAAATTACTTTTATTGTATGTTGTCAGTGGTCACAGAAGAGTGTCATTTTTTTCTGGTTTGATTTTTTTAAAAACCTGAGTACACTCAAGAAATAACATAATTTAATAGATTTTAGTTGTACTCTGAAGTTTGATTTCTTTTTTAATTTATTTTTATTATTCCTCCCCCCCCCCTCTGGTCACTGTTTTAAGAACTTTTAACAAGTTCTTCATAGTTCTTTACAGATCTTAGTATTTTGATCACTGGGAGTTGTTACTGCTGCCTTTAGCCTGAAGGTCATCGGTTTGACTTGTGTGCCATGAGCATTTAGGAATTATGGGGACAGTGGAAGAGCCTGCTACTGCTCTTGGAGTCAAAGGCGGGGAAGCTGGGAAAGTGACAGCTCTTGTAGACAGTTACATGTCTGTGGAGTTTATTTTTTCTATTTGGTAGTTTAATCTTTGGCTGCTAGAGGTCTCTCAAGAGTCTGAATGGGAATGTGAAATCAGATGTCTGCAGTTTCCTCAAACGAGAAAAAGGAAGAAAATAAAGATAAGGCTAAAATGAACTTCTAATGAATGGGAGCTCAGTAAATAAGTTAGGTTTGAGGAAGCAGTAGTAGTTGGCCTACTCCTAGAGGATGTTAAAACATCATTCTGCATCCAGTATAGTTTGCTTACTAACTGATGATCACTGGTGACTTACCTAATGTACAGCTCTCAGCTGAACTCTTAAGAATACTGACAGAGGTGCAACAAGTTATGTACATGTTTTTACAAACGTGCTTCTTCAAAGTTCATGCATTTGCTGCACTGTGATGGGTTTTTTGTATTTCACCTGGAGAAGTCCTAGCCAAGGGCATCTAGGCTGTAAATAAATTGTTTCAGGTTATTCAGAAAGGATGTGTAATTAATCTAGAGTATTTCTATATTATGGTAAAACTAGACCTTGTTTGCTTCCATTCGTAAAGATCTTATTTTCAACAGTGCTGCTGAATGCAAAAGCATTTATGCAGTTCTTCAGGAATGTTCAGGAACATCATGGATGTTTTCCGTCACTGAGTTACTTAGAAGGCTTGATTTCATTCTGTTCAGCAAATGTTGGAGACAGTGAACAAATCCTTTCAGCCTCCTCAAAAATTACAGTGAAGTGAAACAGCTGATTATTCATTTGTCTTATTTTCAGCTCAGGGTGACTATTTGACAGAATTCACTGTCTGTGCATTGACCCAGGTGGATCATTTTGCACAGTACGTGTTGAGACTTCGCTACTGAATGAATTCTAACCTCTCAAGCCTCAACTGTCATAGTATTATTTTGCACACTTGAAGGTGGATATTTCAAGCAATTGGTGCTGCTGTTTGCAAAACATGATACTTCTGCCATAGCCATAAACTAATTAAGATATTTTTCTTTAGGAAATTCAACAAGAAACTGATATCCCCGAAAGAGAACTGGTTAGAGCCCTACAGTCCCTTGCATGTGGCAAACCAACACAACGTGTTCTTACAAAAGAGCCTAAATCAAAAGAAATAGAAAATGGTCATATATTTACAGTGAATGATCAGTTCACATCTAAACTACACAGAGTCAAGATTCAGACAGGTAAGTGAGCTTTATATTCCACTGTCTTGCAGTCCTAAAACTGCCTTAAAATGTCAAATTATATTTTGCAGGATTGATGTCCATACAAGTAAAAGGAAGAGAGTAATATATTTTTTTGTTGATGATTGGTTGCATCAAAATGAAAATTTAAATACTGAGAAAAGTGTGGAAGTCATAGTTAAGCCTTTTACTTCACAATATTTGTAATTATCTCTTAAAAGGAAATGTTGAAAGACAAATAAAATTCAAATTAAATAGTAAAATTAAAAACATGCAACTGATTGATTCAGAAATAGGAAAATTGCCTTGTAAGTTGCTGTACTGCTGTGAAATTGAGTGACATTTTTAGCCCATGACACAACAGCCAGGTAGCTATAGTGTTTTTGGGCAATGATTCGGGTTTAACAAATAAGAGAGGCTGATTGGTGCAATACCACTTCATTAGCTCATCAAAGTGCTGGTTTGTGTTTTGCATAAGTAATGTTGATACCTTTTGTCTAGAAGGCTCTCTGGAAATAATTTTTGAGTTGTAGCATTGCTGTGAATACACTTCATAGAGCGTTTTGGAAGATTAGTTCTGAGTTTTAGTACATCTAAAAATACTTTCTGATTTCGCAGATCTCAGTACATAAAATATACAGCATCACTGGCACATTGGTAATTCACATGCTGTTTGTTGCACGTAATACAACTTGTTGGGCTTCTCTGCAGCACGCTGTGTCCAGGGATGCAAGCGTGTGAAACCCAGTAGTACCTACAGACGTTACACTGCATGTATCCCTCTGCATAAGCTTCATGCACATGCAGGGTGCTGTGGTGTCAACACATTTGCTGTCTCTGGAGAATTTTTCTGGTGAGCAGGAGCGCAGCAGCCAAATGAGGATGTTGAGAACCCTCTGATCAGGGCCCAGGGCACATCCCTGGCATAATTAAAATAAATTCTGTGACAACTGTTTAAGCTTTAGTGGAATTCTGCTTTTTCATTTCCAGTCCACAAATGTCTGTGAAAGGGGAATATGATTTGAGGTTCAACATGGTTTTAGAGCAAATTTGATACTTGTGGTTTTATGTTTCAGTCTTACACAGAAGACTTCTTATGTGTATCTCTTTAAAACTGATAAATACTTGGGGCTTTTGAGTGAAGAAGGGCAGTGGGGGGAAACTGGTATAGCAATGTGGGAGGAGGGCTTGGTTATAATGATGCTTGGGTGAAAGGGTAAGAAAAGCTAGACATAAGGGCAGAAATAAAGCATAAATAGAAGAGGAGAACAGGATACAAAGAATATAATTGAGTTGGAGAGGAAAAAGTTGGACTGTTTCTTCTGACTGATGAACTTCTAAAGTATTTAACTAGTTTGTGAAGTAAATTTTCAATCCTTTTTTTATTTTAATTGATTATTTGCTATATTAAAGAGAAAAATATTTAATGGGAGCGTGGGGGTTGGTGGTGCCTGTAAGCAGATTTGAGTACTGTTCAGATTTTAACATAGCAATAATTAAATAACAGATTGTTACCTTGTCAGTTGCTATCAAAATATGCCAGCAAGTGTCAATATGTTCTTGTGGCTGGTTTTTATAAAAAAAAAAAAAAAAAAAATCAAGTTTGAGAATGTCAAAACTCAGGAAAATATAACTTGATGTCTAGATGAAATAAATAGTGACGCTAACACTTACACAATGAAATTAATTTTAATTTTGCTAACATACTTTACACTCTCTTTCTTTAAGTTGCTGCCAAACAAGGAGAATCTGATCCAGAAAGGAAAGAAACGAGGCAGAAAGTAGATGATGACAGAAAACATGAGATAGAAGCTGCTATAGTTCGGATAATGAAATCTAGGAAGAAGATGCAACACAATGTGCTAGTAGCAGAGGTATACTTGTACACGGTTTTGATACAGGCTTGGGAATTCTTTTTGCTTTTCCCTTTAATTCATGAAAGTTACACAGCTCTCACTAACATGATTCTGAAAGGCTTTTGAGCGATGCGGTATTTAATCTATCCTGTTTTGGTTTTTTTTTTCTCCCTGCCTATCTGAAGACATCTAAATCCTTACCCTTCAGTTTAGGATGTACCCATGGGTATATCTAATTTTCCTTCTTCCTTTTAGTGCCATTATGATGTTACCAAATTCCTTGAAATAACAGTTGGCAAGAAAAAACACTGTACTTAACATGAATTATTTTCTGCTTTGATCTTGTTACTGACTGCTGGGTCCAGGTTTCAGAGATTTGAGCTTTCAGCAGAGAAAGAGTCCTGCTGCTCTTAACTCCTAAGTTCTGACAGCTTCAGGAATAGTATGCATTTCCCACTCTTGAACTCCCTTAGGGCTGTGAAATTGAGAGGATTCTCAGGTTGTGACCATGCCTGTGTAGAGGGTCAGTACTTTGAATCGTACCCAAAAATGAGCAAGCAACTGATGGGGGAAAAAACTGTCAGAAGTTTGCGGACTGCTTCTTACGCTTCATGGTTGTAGCCAGCCCTGTCTGAACCTATTTTTCTGATTATTTTGGTCAGTTAGGATACTTAATGATCTTACTTGCCCTGTGATCTTATATTATTGGTTTTGATCTTATGTTTTAGGTAACTCAGCAGCTGAAGGCCCGATTCTTACCAAGTCCAGTTGTTATTAAAAAACGTATTGAAGGACTTATTGAGAGAGAGTATTTGGCACGAACACCTGAGGATCGCAAAGTATACACTTACGTAGCATAAAATGCATTCAGAAAATTTGATTTATTCTTGGACTATACTCTTCGCATGAACTGGGAAGTTCTTTTAAATCATTAATATTAAGACGACCATCTCTTCTATTAAATCACAATACATGTTCTAGACCATTCAGATCAAGCCTTTTACTCCTTTTGAGAGTTTTCAACATGAATTGATTGAGCTTCAAGCTTTTCAACGTTATCCCTGTAGAGATCATCCTTACAATTCTTCGGGAAAATGTGAATGTGCTGCGTTTGTTTTCAATACTGTATGAAAACAGAAAAATAAAAACAAATTTAGAAAATACAGCTCATTTAAAAAAAAATAAAATTGTTGGAATTTCATTTCCCCAGATCTTCAGTGGTGATGTAAATGTGTTTCTGTAGTGTTGCTTAGCACTTCGCGCATTGTATAAGTTGGGTTTAAAAGAAACCACAACTGGTAAGGCAAAATTCCCAGTTATATTGCTCTGCTTCAAATGTTTCTTTAACTAGCCATGTTTAATTTAAATATTTGGTAATTTTTTGAAGGCCCAAGAAGACAACTTGAGCATGTTTCACTCTTCCAGCTGCACTCACTGTTCCAACAACATGAATCAGGAACTTCTCGGGGCTCAGAAAAGACCATAATAATTTTGGCTTTCCCTTCTGTAATTTGAGTTCTTCTAAATTAAACTCTATATTGATGAGGTTTGTTCTGGTTTCTTTATAGGAAAAAGGAAAAGATTTTAGTGTGTATAAACTGTATAATAATTTTTGCTGTTGTACTCACTGCTGATGGTGGATTGTACAGGGCGATGTTTTTATTTCACTAAATGTAGACAAAATAAGTTTAAAATAAATGGATTTAGTGTACACAATTAATTCAAGTGTGTTAGAGTACAGGGTTGACAATCTTTTGGAATTAAATACTGTCCCCTGGGGAAATGTACTGGGATTATATTTTGTTAATAAACATCACAGATGGATCTGTAGCCCCAGGGCTTCCCATCACAAGGGCATATTTCAGGAGATTAAAGTGAAGCCAGTGTGCACTATTTGTTTTTAAAAATGCATTTTAAACATGCAATAAAAAATTGTTACTGTAATGAAATTTTTAGTTCTTACCCTGGAACTTTTTTCTTCTTGTCAGTGTACTTCAAAAATAGATTAAAAATTGCAGTTTAGTGGCATCATTATTCTCATAGTTAGAAATTGTTTGAAGTGTGCATTGTACTGCAGAGTTTTTATTAAACAGTATTTCTGACATTCCAATGCACATATTACATGGTTTCTCTGCCATAGCTATTTTTCTGTTTTAATTCAAAACAGTATCTTTTTTCTAGGTTCACATTGCTTTCATCCATAGACACTGAAAAATATAGTTGGGATGGGCTTCCTAATATGTAGAGCTGGAGTTGAAACAAAAAGAAAAACTTGGTTGTAGAGCATTAGGATACTGCCAGAGCATTTCTAGATTAGCTGTATTAAATAAAAATGGTGGTGGTGTAATGGAGCAATGCGATTGAGAGAGTATTTTTCATAATGTGTCCCCACTTTCACCCCTCTCCAGCCTGTTAAGACACAATCCTGGCTATTGTTCAGTAGTAGGATATTTCTTCTAAAGACAGGGATTGAAATCAGGGTGGTACTTTAGCTTGACTATTCTGAAGCTTTTTTTAAGCAGCTTTACTTTAAGTTTACTGCACACCCCCAGCACACACAGAGGAGATTAGCTTTTTAAGTCATCAGAGGGGAGGTGGCTGAGGGACTTTCCTGCCATTGTTCATCAAGAATTTAGCCCCAGAAGAAAACTGCTAGGCCATCAGCCATTCTAAAAATGTATTTGCTGACTGTTATTAAAACACCTATGTGTCTCTGTACAGTATATGCAAAATTTTAATAGAAATGTAATTGGTTAGCCATAGAACAGTACTAAATACAGGTTGGATGAGAGTCTGGGTTTTGGATGGTGTCTTAAGTGGTCAGAAACATCTTTCTCAAAATGTAACTCACTCTTCCATGTATCAGTATGAAGGTTTTCTTTTATGCATATCTTATTCTTTTAATAGCATGAATGTTGTGATAATTGTGTGTTAATGCTTTCCCGTGTGCTTTTCAGGGAGAAATGGGTTCATGCCCCTTTTCCCTGTGAAGCTTACAGAGATACTAATGTTGCTGTCCGTGACAGGAGGACTGTCCTTAGCGTTGCGATTGTACTTTTGCTGTGCATCAGCCGAAGCTTTCTACCTCTGGTGGCTTTTGGAAGCCCTGAGCCTGAATGTTGTATGAATGACTGTATAATTATGTGTTTAAGGGTTTGACTTTTTTTTTTTTTTTTTACAAGCTATGTGGGCAAGAGTGTTTACTAAAAGAATAACAGGTGGTGATGGCTATATTCAGTAACAAATACTAAGAGTATAGTTTCCATTTTAAATTCAATAGAATTTTGAAGACAGTAATGATTCAGGAAGGGAGTTTTGCTGAAGTCACCTTTTGGAAATGTGCCCTTTACTATTGAACAATGAGATCATGATACTGAGGATTTCAAGATGGAGAATGTGAAAACTCTGGTCAGAGAGAACAAGACATCACTAGGACTCTGCTTCAGGTGAGTTCGAGGCTCATGCCTTTACGCTGTTTGTGTACGTTAGTGAGATTTCTTTTACAGTCGGTAGCAGAATTCCACTGTGCCTTATCTAATTTTGGGTTTGCTTCTTAATTTCCACTTAAAACTTCTAATTTTGTTAAAATTTCATCAGTAGGATTGTAGTTACATGTATGAGTGTAATTATTAGTGTTGGGCTTCTTTGCATTAATGTGCAGTTACATGCAGTACAAGACATAATAAACATGGAGTTTAATTCTTTAGAGTTTTTAAAATTAAAAGTAGGTTTGAGTTTTATAGCTATTTGAAGATACGTAGGCATGTACTTCCCTGGTAGATGAGTTTATTTTAAAGGGTCGAGAGTACACTTCATTTACCATCATAACGAGTAAGATTATCCTATGTATCCCTGATTTAGTTCTTGCTCGTTTCAATGTTAGCTACCTTTACAGCTTTGATTTGCTCTTTTTGTCTCCTAGAATTAATCCATGCAATTTCCCCATTTGCTACAGAAAAAATGAATGTTAAGCATGTCTGCATAGCAGACTGAATCTTGGATGCGAAGCTACTCCTGAATAAAATGTCTCTCCTCCCCCCCTTTCCTAAAAACAAACTTTGCCCTGTTGACCCTAAAGCTTTCAATGTAATACTGTCTGTTCTTGCTACCTTTGCTCATTGAGACTTGGCAGCTGCCGTAAGGTTTACTTTTCTGGACCTGTAAAAACAGAAACATTGCACTAAAGATTCTGGATGACTGAAGTATTTGTATTCACATGTATTGTAATCAAATTGTACAGTACCTGATAGGTGGTGCATATATATATATGGCAATAGAGCCTGTCATGGTGCATGGTTTAGGGGATAAGCTTGCACAGAGATGGGGTTCCCATCTGTATTGGGTTTGGGTGGTAAGGTTTTGGTAGCAGGGGGGCTACAGGAGTGGCTTCTGTGAGAAGCTGCTAGAAGCCTCCCCTATGTTGGATTAGAGCCAGGGGCAGCTGGCTCCAAGATGGACCCGCTGCTGGCCAAGGCCAAGCCAATGGTGTCAGCACCTCTGGGATAACATAGTTAAGAAGGAGGGAAAAAAAAACCCTGCATAACTGCAGCTGGAGAGAGGGGTGAGAGTATGTGAGAGGAACAACTCTGCAGACACCAAGGTCAGTGAAGAAGGAGGGGGAGGAGGTGCTCCAGGTGTCAGAGCAGAGATTCCCCTGCAGCCCCTGGTGCAGCCCATGGTGAGGCAGCTGTGCCCCTGCAGCCCATGGAGGGACCCACGCTGGAGCAGGTGGATGTGCCCGAAGGAGGCTGTGAGCCCTTGGGAAGCCCGCACTGGAGCAGGCTCCTGGCAGGACCTGTGGACCCATGGAGAGAGGAGCCCACGCTGGAGCAGGTTTGCTGGCAGGACTTGTGACCCCATGGGGGACCCATGCTGGAGCAGTCTGCTCCTGAAGGACTGCACCCCATGGAAGGGACCCATGCTGGAGCAGTTCGTGAAGAACTGCAGCCTGTCGAAAGGATGTTGGAGAAGTTTGTGGAGGACTGTCTCCCGTGGGAGGGACCCCGTGGTGGAGCAGGGAGCAGTGTGAGGAGTCCTCCCGAAGGAGGAAGGAGCGGCAGAGACACCGTGTGATGAACTGACTGCAGCCCCCATTCCCTGTCCCCCTGTGCTGCTGTGGGGGAGGAGGTAGAGAAATTGGGAACAAAGTTAAGCCCAGGAAGAAGGGATGGATAGGGGGAAGGTGCTTTAAGATTTAGTTTTTATTTCTCATTATCCTACTCTAATTTGACTGGTAATAAATTAAACTGATTACCCCAAGTCGAGTCTCTTTTGCCCATGATTGTAACTGGTGAGTGATCTCTCCCTGTCCATATCTCGACCCTTGAGCCTTTTATTATATTTTCTCTCCCCTGTCCAGCTGAGGAGGGGGAGTGACAGAGTAGCTTTGGTGGGCACCTGGCATCCAGCCAGGGTCAACCTACCACACCATTTTGTCAAAGGTAGCAAAAACTGGAACTACTTGTGGCCTCCAGGTGTATGTCCAAAAGTGGCCAGAACCTTTATAGCTCAATCTAAAACTCCTTAACTCTGCTTTGTTCGTGGTGGTTAGAGGTGAGGCGGGCTCTGATCATTAGCTCCTGGTTCCTCAGGGCCCCTGTGGATTAGAGTGAGGATTTAAGTCTAGAACTAGGCTTGCGGTAGCGTGTGGACCTGGTAAGAGGCATCGTCTTGTTTGTGTCTTGTACCAAAGTCCCAATTTCTGTTAATATTCATTTTGATACCTTGAATAGTAAATGAAATAGCCAATGTGCTCAGTCTGAAGCATGAGTTTAATGGCTCCTCTGTCTTCTGGAATGTGTTACGTGAAAAGTTGGTAAAATGCAGAACTTGATATATATCTAGCTGAAAGCTGGATAAAAGAACAGGAGAATAATTTACCTAACTTTCTGTCCTTTGGTATGTAGGGAAGTGTTCACAGAGTGTGCCCACAAACTGGATTGAATATTCTGAATCTTTCAGCTGGATTTATCCATGTTTTAACCCTGTATCTGGCATGGCAGAAGTTAAGCGTTAATGTAAAAATGTAAAGATGCTGTTTGAAATGAAAATAGTGGCGCACCTCTACTTGCCTAAAAAACAGCTGCGGTAAGCAGGCGGCGTGCAACAACAACACCCACACCAGCGCAACCTGGCTCGCGTGCAACAACAACACCCACACCAGCGCAACCTGGCTCGCGTGCAACAACAACACCCTGGCTCGCGTGCAA